GTAGTGACGAGTGGACACTGAGTAGTGAGTAAATGGTGAGTAGGGAGTAGTGGGTAGTGAGTATTGGATTGTGAGTAGCGAGAACAGAGTAGTGAGTAGTGAGTAGTGAGCAGTGAGTAGCGGGTAGTGAGCCGTGAGTAGTGCTATCTGTAGGAATTAGTGAGTAGTGGGTAATGAGTAGTGAGTGGAGGATAGCGGATAGTGGGTAGGGAGCATCGAGTATTGAGTAGTGAGTAGAGAGAAGTGAGTAGTCAGTATTGTAGAGTCATTAGTCAGCAGTGAGTATGGAGCAGGGAGTGGCGAGTAGTGAATAATGAGTAGTGGGTAGTGAGTAGTGAGTAGTGAGTAGTGGGTAGTGGGGAGTGGGTAGTCAGTAGTGAGTAGTGAGTAGTGAGTAGTCAGTAGTGAGTAGTGACAGGGTGTTTGGACTTGGATTAGGGGTTCGGGTTATAGTATGGGGTGAAGGTTTCGGGTCGGGGAAGAGGGTTTGCGTTTCAGGGTAAGGGCGTTACGGTTAGAGTTAGGGGTTTTGGGTAATTAGGAGTTACGATTAGGCTTAGGGGTGGTCGGGATCGGGCCTAGGAGACACGGGGCGCTGTGGCGAAAGGAGGGGAGGGGGGGGGGTCGAATTTCGAGTCCAAATGGGGGAAAGGGGGAAGGGGGGGTCCAGAGAGAAAGGGGAGGCGTCCGCCGACGATGAACAGGGAAAGAAAGGGTGGGGGGGGGGCCGCCGATGACGGATTGGGATGGGGGGGGCAGGGGGTCCGCCGACGACGGACCGGGGAAAGGTGTGGGGGAGGTCCCGGACCCCCCCCCCTTTGGAGAGATCCAGCGGCGCGCCCTCAGTATGTCTTGCCCACAACAATTTACAGCGCCTTTTTGTTTTTCTCTCCTATTTGCCGAGATGGGTTAGCTGGGAAGCTCACGCACGAAGGCACAGCCAAGACGCTGAAACAAGGACCTCTCTGGATTCCGAAGGGATTTGCTGCTCCTCAGCTTAGCTCCTTCCGTGGTTGTTCCCGTCGCTCTCCTCCTGCACCCAGTCGCCTTTGTGGCCAAACAGGGTTTCGATCCTTACCCGTCGGCCCTTGGAAGTAGGTATTTCTGCATTCCCACATCCCAATCTACTTCCAGTGATTTCCTACGTCAAGAACCTATATTATCTTGCTGTGTTGAGTTTCTTCTTTGGGAGGGCCTGAACCCAATCTACTTGATCCGCCTGTCCACTTCCTGGTTCCACCTACAGCCAGCCCGCATAGTAAGGATGGGTAGTATTCCCAAGGGTACCCTTGCATTCTTGTCTCCTCGGTCCATCCTTGGCCGCTTCCGTTGGCCGCGCCCCGCTCGAAAAGCTTCGAAATGGGCGTCCAAGGCCCTTGCATCCTCACCGCGCGTCCTTACTGCACGGGCTGGCTGAACGAGATCCGCCTTCCTACTCCATATTTTTACCCACCTCTTCCGACCGACGTGTGTTTTGCGGTCCTCTTCCCAGTAGCCCGACCGCAGAGGTGCCGACGGCGGGCGGCTCCGGAGGTCTTCCCCGCGCCGGCCCCGGGGCCCCTTACCGCGCCGCTCCCGCATGGGCGGCGGGCCGGCCCCGGCAGGGGCCGCTCGCGCGGCGGCACGCAGCAGCAGTGGACACGCCTCGTGGGCCGTTTCGGCCTCAGGGGATATTCGCACGCATCTGGTCGAAGAGGAGGAACAGACGGCATAAACATACACTTTTGGCGGTCCGCGCGGACCGCCAAAAGTGTATGTATGCTTGTGCCGTTTTTTGTTCCTCTAGCTGGGCCTCCCATCGGCTGCGAGCGAGGGGGGGAAGTGAGAGGGAGAAGGCCTTCTCGGAAGGCTGCGCGGCTTCTCGGAGGCCCGCCGGTCTTCTGAGAGCGGTTGTCTGCGTCTTCGGGGAAGGCGCGGAACACCTCTCAGAAGGCCGTGGGACTTCTGAGCCTTCTGAGAAGGCCCCTGATCCCAGATGGGGTCGGAGTAGATCGGGTCGGAGGATCGCGCTGCATCGCCCATGCATCGGCGATGCCACTCGATGTGGAGCCCGTCCTCCTCCACACCGATGGGGCCGATACATCGCCGACGTCGCCGATGCATCGCTGATGCATCGGCTCAGCCCGATTCTCCGATACCATTTACCCGGACCCCATCTGGCCGGTCTCTATTGCAGCACGTTCGCTTCATCTTTCAGGGCACGGATTCACTGCATGAGTTCGCGTATCGCACGTTGTGTGGCGTTCCCTGTTTGCCTGGCGACCTTTGATTCGCCCAGGGGTTGAGGCCGAGTCGTGTCAAAACAGGTAAGCCGGAAGAGCACTCGGCAGGTGGCAGCAGCCTGCATCATCACGCGCAATCCTGCGGCTTGGAGTCGGACTTAGCCTGGGGTCTTAGGTGGCCCAGCACTGGTTCCAGCCAGCAGAATGGGCGGGCATGTCAGAGGTTCTGGGTTCGGGAAGCTGTTTGTGTTGCCTTATTCGGCCTCCGGGTGCCGTTTTCGGGCCCCCGGACAGGAAGACGGATTTGGCGTGAAAAGCTGCACCAGATGGACCCCAGCAGGAGTCCAGGGACCGATTCAGAGCGGATTTTCCGAGGCGGGAATTTACACATGACTTCGGAGCCTCGGCAGGCGGTGGATATGGACATATTCGGGCCCCCGGGGGCCGAAACATGTGCATATCCACCGCCCGCCGCTGGGGCACCAGGACGTGGGTTCATCGGTTCCCAGGCGGTGGATATGGACAAATCCCCGCCTCGCAGATTTGGCCTCATCCGTCCCTCATGACCGATGTTCTAGGGTCCCAAGCAGTTCAGACCCCCGTCCGCCTCCAACCTGCGGCCACAACGGGCAACGGCAAGTAGTATCAGCGAGGTCAGAGGGCGACTCCAGCCCTCGACGGCATCTTCTCCTCCACATTGGCCGTGCAACTTCGTATCGGACGCCACATCTTCGATACTGTGGTCCTGTGCGGCTGGCGTTCGCCGCTATCCCCGGTTCGACTTCTGGACACATCTGCAGGAAATTCCGCAGCAGCGGCCATGAAGACACAGCAAAAGCAAGCAGCAGCAACCAGCTGAAAGAACTCTCAGCAAGCAACACTGAGTGGCACAAGCATCAGCAAGCAAGGCAGCAGTAATCAGTAGCACCGGCACCATACTGCACCGAGCAGCAGCTTGCTGACGAGCCTCCGCATGCGCGTGTTCAGCGGCTGCTCCGGGCTCCAGTCTCAGACCCCCGCGGGATTCTCAGACTTCTCCAGTTCCTCTGGCCTCTCTAGTTTCTCAAGACCTCGCCAGACTTCTCCAGAGCTTGCCAGACCTATTCGAGATGCACTGTCACTCTGCTTCGTGATTATGGCCCAGTGGAATGTGGGTGAAGCTCGTCCACGGGCACACACTATTCAGCTACAGCGCTGGTATCAGCGCATGCGAGAAAGGCGAGCAGTGGCAGCGGGCCCTGTCGCTGTTCAGCGAGATGTGGGAGGCGAATCTGGAGCCCGACGTCATCTTGTCTTCTACACCCAACAGAGTTCCAAGATGTTGCAAGAGAAGAACTAGACCGCGCAAGGCGGCCCTAAGACGGCCTCAGAGAGCTCCAAGAACGGCCCCCAAATCACCAAGGCGGCCCAAGACGGCCTCGCGACGGCCCATGGGCCCCCCCAGCGCGCCCCGAGCGCGCCCCAGCAACAACCATTGTTTTCCCCAATGTTCTTCAAACACCCGTTCTTCCATGCCTGAGATTGACCACGAGGGTCCCTAGGGCTCCCCAACATCGTCACGCGAGGGCCCTGGACGCCTCCAAGAGAGGGGCTCAGACGGCCCAACAGGGCTCCAACGGCGGTCAAGGAGGTCGCCAGGATGTGCCCAAGGCATGCCCAGGGCGGCCCAGGAACGCACGACGATTGTCCCCCGTCCCGCCCCCCCAGGCACTCCCAGTGGCCCCACAGGCCGCCTCATGGCTCCAGGATGCCGAAGGAGGCTCCAAGAAGGCCCCAAGAGACGCCCCCACTGGCGGCCCCCGACAGACATCCCGAGAGGCCTCCCCTCACGAGAGGTCCCCTCCCCCTCCCGTCTCCCTCCCTCCTTGCCCCTCTCCCCTTGACCGTCGCTCTTACGTTCTTGCTCCTCGGTCTTCGCTGGTCGCTCCTCGCTTCTCCCCCTCATAGAACTGACCATCAGCAGCACCGTGCAGTCACAACGAGCAACAGTACGCATCATCGGCAAGCCTTACCGACAGCACGCAACAGCGGCAGCAAGCAGCCGTGCAGCAGCGCGCAGTCGCATGCGCGGAATGCGAAGTTCGGGCCCAGGTTTCCATTTCAACTGATTGGCAGCATGTCCACAATCACATGCCAGTTCGTGCAGATTTCGCGGACATAGTCCACGGGTCAGCCTTACTCATCTACAATGCTGGGATCAGCGCGTGCGCGAAGAGCGGGCAGTGGCAGCGGGCGCTTGCGCTGCTCAGCGATATGTGGGAGAGGAAGCTGAAGCTCGACGTCGTAAGCTGCAGCGCTGTGATCAGCGCGTGCGAGAAGGGCGAGCAGTGGCAGCGGGCGTTGGCTCTGCTTAGTGAGCTGTGGGAGGTGAAACTGGAGCCGAACGTCATTAGCTACAGCGCTGTGATCAGTGCGTGCGAGAAGGGCGAGCAGTGGCAGCGGGCTCTGTCGCTGCTGAGCGAGATGTGCGAGGCCAAGCTGGAGTCCGACGTCATCATCTGCAACGCTGTGATCAGCGCGTGCGAGAAGGGTGAGCAGTGGCAGCGGGCGATGGCGCTCCTCAGCGAGATGTGGGAGGCGAAGCTGGAGCTCGACGTCGTAAGCTGCAGCGCTGTGATCAGCGCTTGCGAGAAGGGCGAGCAGTGGCAGCGGGCTTCGGCGCTGCTTAGTGAGCTGTCGGAGGCGAAGCTGAAGCCCGACGTCATCATGTATAGCGCTGTCATAAGTGCGTGCGAGAAGGGCGAGCAGTGGCAGCGGGCTCTGTCGCTGCTCAGCGAGATGTGGGAGGCGAAGTTGGAGCTCGACGTCATCATCTGCAATGCTGGGATGAGCGCTTGCGAGAAGGGCGGGCAGTGGCAGCGGGCTTTGGCGCTCCTCAGCGAAACGTGGCAGGCGAAGCTGGAGCTCGACGTCGTCAGCTGCAGCGCTGTGATCAGCGCGTGCGAGAAGGGCGAGCAGTGGCAGCGGGCCTTGGCGCTGCTTCGTGAGCTGTGGGAGGCGAAGCTGGAGCCGAACGTCACCTCCACTGCAGTCCTGGCCGCTGCGCGTGCGAGATGCGCCAGCAGTGCGCCAGCTGCCCTCCACCGCCCGGGGCGCCCCGCCGCTCCCCGACGGCTCCCGAGAGCCCGAGCCCCCGGGAGCCCCCAGGTGGCCCCTGCCCGGCCCCAGGCAGCCCGCAGGTCGCTCCGAGACGCTCTGGACGGCGCGAGGATGTCCCAAGAGAGCCCGAGCGGAGCTCCATGACAGCCCAGGACGGCCCGACGACGGGCCAGGTGCCTCCGAAGACGGCCCAGGCCAGACTCCGATGACGGCCCCCCGAGGCTAGTACCATCGATGTTCCTAGGGTTTCGCCGACTACCCACTCGCCATTTCGGGCCAAGAACGGCCCCAGACGGCTCCAGGGCCATCCCAGATCGCCCCAGGACGGTCCAGGAGGCCCCGCCAAGTGCTCCAAGACGGCCCCAGAGGGCCCGAAGACTGCCCAAGAGAAGCCCACGGCAGCCTCATAGAGCCCTGGTGGCCCCCAAAACAGCCTCAAGACGGCCCCAGGAGTTGCCCAATGGGTCCCAAAGCGGTCTCCAAGACGGCCCGATACCGCCAACATCGCCCCAGGACAGCTCAAGAGGCCCCTGAGACGACTTAGGAGATCCACCAAATGGCCCAAGAAGGCATCAAGAGCTGCCGAAGAGGGCTCGAGCGGGCGCCCATGCAGCGCGAACCATCCAACATAGCCCTCAGACGTCGCAAGACTCCCAACATCAACAGCCCCGCTAGATGGATGACCTCAGGACGTCCCTACAAGCTCGCACGACGACACCCAAGATCGCTCCCAAATGGCCCCAGAAACGCCCTGGAGGCTCCAGAAAAAAAAAAATATCCCGGCAAAGCAACCTAACAGCGATGTGTAGGAGCATATCTGGAAGCATTCCCCTTAAGATTCAGATGAGAATCCAGTTGTAGAATTGTGCTGTTCTCGCAGTCGTAGTCGCATTCGCGATGACAGTCGCAGTGGCAACGGCAGTCACAGACACAGCCTCAGCCTCAGCCTGCCTCAGCCTCAGCCTCAGCCTGCCTCAGCCTCAGCCTGCCTCAGCCTCAGCCTCAGCCTGCTTCAGCCTCAGCCTCAGTCTGCCTTCAGCCTCGGCGTCAGCCTCAGGCTGCCTCAGCCTCAGCCTGCATCAGCCTCAGCCTCAGCCTCAGCCTCAGCCTGCCTCAGCATCAGCCTGCCTCAGCCTCAGCCTCAGCCTGCCTCAGCATTCAAAATGTGGCCCGGGAATGTAGTTCTGGGAACTCGAAGAACACGAAGTGGCCTACAGTTGGCTCCGGGCATTCAAAATCATGCCCAGGAATGGAGTTCTGGGAACTCGAAGACCACGAAGTGGCCTACAGTTGGCTCCGGGCATTCAAAATGTGGCCCGGGAATGGAGTTCTGGGAACTCGAAGAGCACGAAGTGGCCTACAGTTGGCTCCGGGCATCCAAAATGTGGCCCGGGAATGGAGTTCTGGGAACTCGAAGAGCACGAAGTGGCCTACAGTTGGCTCCGGGCATTCAAAATGTGGCCCGGGAATGGAGTTCTGGGAACTCGAAGAGCACGAAGTGGCCTACAGTTGGCTCCGGGCATCCAGAATGTGGCCCGGGAATGGAGTTCTGGGAACTCGAAGAGCACGAAGTGTGTGACTGTTGCATCCGGTTATTCAGAATGAGCCTGGGAATGGAGTTCTGGGAAGTCGAAGAGCACGAAGTGTGTGACTGTTGGCGAAAAACGAGCCCGGCACCCTGCCGCCCGGCAACTCCCAACACCTGCCCGGACCCCCCTGTGGAGTGATCTGTGAGCTCTTTTTACCCTACTAGAAACCTATCAGTCTTCGCTGTTAGGTAACAAAAGGCCTCCAAGAGGGTCCGAAGGTTGTCCTGACGACGTGCCTCCCGCAGCTACCACTGGCTGGGAACCTGCTCAGGACCACTCCTTCGTAGGACCACTTCGGTGCCCCAGAGTCTCTCAAGAGACTCTGACACTTGCTAAGGTGCTGTACGCAGAGCACCATCAGCCACGGCACCCTTTCGCCGTCTCTGGAACCCCAGAAGCCCTAAAGATAGCCGCGGACCCCGACCGAAGCCCCGGACCACTCCGAGGCACCCCAGACCCTCCCCAAGATACTCCGACAATTCCGACGGAGCTCCCAGAGGAGCCTCCCGCCCTTGTGCCTCCCAGGTAGCCTCCAGCAAAGCCTCCTACCCATAGTGCGGCCCAAACCCCAGCACGTTTTGGGCCTCCCCCCAGCGATTAGGAGTGACATGGGGGACCTCCTCCTCCTCCTCCTCCTCCTCCTCCTTTTCTCCCCCCTCCTCCTCCTCCTTCTACAATTACTCAATATGAATATACTCTTCCTCTTCCCCTGATGGCGTCCGGGTGATAGCCGCGCACCCTCCGCGTACTGTTTTTTTACACAGGATGCCTGGGAAATCCCAGGAAACGACTCTCGCTGAGGCGCCGGCGTCATTTGTTCCCAAAATGCTGCTCTCGCGCCGGCGTCATTTTTTCCCAAAATGCTGCTCTCGTTCAGGCGCTGGCCTCATTTCTGCTCCCGAATCCTTCCCCTGATGGCGTCCGGGTGATAGCCGCGCGCCCTCCGCGTACTGTTCTTTTACACACAGGATGCCCGGGAAATCCCGGGAAACGACTCTCGCTGAGGCGCCGGCGTCATTTTTTCCCAAAATGCTGCTCTCGTTGAGGCGCCGGCCTTATTTCTGCTCCCGAATCGTTCCGAATCGTGCTCCCGCTGCAGCGTGGGCCTCATTTTCGGATCGGTGCTTTGGCCTCCGTCGTTCAGGATGGCGTTCTCGCCCCAGCGCGGGCCTTTTTCTCGCGCGCCCATCCGCCCGCCACCACCGCGCCGCACCGCCACCACCACCACCACCACCACCACCACCACCACCACCACCACCAACCACCACCAGCACCAGCACCAGTACCAACACCACCACCACCAGCACCACACCACCACCACCCAGCACCACCACCACCACCACCCCACCACCACCACACCACCACCACCACCACCACCACCACCACCACCACCACCACCACCACCACCACCACCACCACCACCACCACCACCACAACCACGCACACACGCACGCACGCACGCACGCACGTGCACCACCACCCACTACGCACGCGCGCGCGGAGCCACAGGTCCGCTACGACACGCGTCCGCGGATAGAGAAAATCAGCGCCATGGTAAGGGATGGGAGGGAGGGGTAGGACGTCAGATATGACGCGAGCGCACCTAGCTTGCCTCCTCCCCCTCCTCCTCCTCCTTCTCCTCCTCCTCTACCCTGGCCTCCTTGTCTGTCAGCCTGCACCTCCCTCTCGCTGGGCTGCTCTCCTCCTCCTCCTGACCCCCCCCCCCTTCCGGTCAGGGGTGCCACGGGGGATCTTCTGCTGTCTTCTTTGCCTCGGCTTACTCCTTTGTGAACCTGCACTCCCCCCATCTCCAATACCGCTCCTCTCCTTCTCGTCGTCCTCCCCCTCCCCCTCCCCCTCCTCCTCCTCCTCCTCCTCCTCCTCCTCCTCCTCCTCCTCCTCCTCCTCGTCCTGCAAGAGGCTGCAGCGAGACTGGACTGCGGAAACCCTTTGATGCCACAAGAACCCTCCAGGGGCCACTCCGAGATAGTCCAGACCCTTCCAGGACACTCGAAGACAGCCACCAGCCCCAGAGCCCGGAGCCTGCAGCACCCCCCATAGCAAACCCACGGGCGTCGGCGACACATGCGCGTTCGGGACCGACACCTTGACCCGCCAGCCGAGAATTTTCAAAGGGTACACACTAGTCAGCTACAGCGCTGTGATCAGCGCGTGCGAGAAGGGTAAGCAGTGGCAGTGGGCTCTGTCGCTGCTTAGCGAGATGTGCGAGGCCAAGCTGGAGCCGAACGTCATCTGTCTATTCATTTTCGCCAGGCTTGCGCCAGCCCGCCGACCCCCAGAAGAGGTGCGCGGCGCTCGATTTCTTCCCGTCGTGCTGCCTGCGTGCAGTTGCTCCTGAGTCAGCCTCCTCTCCGTCCGCGTCTGTTGTTGCAGGCCTCTCCGAGGCCGACGGGGGCGGCCTCTTGGAGCCTTTTCAGAGCTCCTGGGGGCTTTAGGGGGCGCCACGGTGGATTATTGAGGGCCTCTTGTGGACATATTTGGAGTCTTGGGCTTTCTTGTTGTTGAGGGCTCCTGGGGTCCCTGCGAGTTCCCCCTCTTGCGACCCTCTTGAGGATATCTTTGGCGGTCTTCGGGCCTCGTGGCGCCTTGAGCCCATCTTGGGTGTTCTTGAGGCCTCTCTTGCGTGTTGGAGCCCTTCTGGGGCCATATCAGAAGGAATTTGGTGGATCCTGGAGGCGACGGATGATGGCTTGGAGGCTCCGGAGGCCTTCGGGTTGCGTCGGGGAGGGAGCTCGTGCCCCCCACCCCCCCAGACCGCCGCGCCCTCCCCCTCTGATGCGATGCTGGGCCCCAGGGGACGGGGCACGGGGGAGGGGGGCAGCCAATCATCTCCGCCCGCCTATACACCGCTGGCAAGCGGGGGTCGGCAGATGTCGTGGCGGACCAACGCTATGAAGTCTTCGTGGCATCGTAATGTGTTTTTCGCGCTCACTTTTCGCAAACATGTTTTGTATTATAGTTTTTGTTTTCCTGTTTGTTCGGATGCGTTTTTCTTGTTTCTGTGCCTAGAGATTGGGGTGAAGGCAGGCGCTCCGTGCGTTCTAGGGGACCGATGCATCGAATGCACGTGGTGGTTGTCAGTTTGTCTTGTGACTTTGACGTTTTGTGAATGATGGTCGCAGCGCAGGCGGTAGATTGCGCGCGCGGCCTGGGGCACCCTCGTTCGCCGACTGGGCTGAGGGCCCCCGCGCCACCAGGATCCTCGGAGATTGGTGGGCTGGAAAATGGGGAGAGCCAGCCACCCCATAATCTTTATGAAGCCCACCCAGTGGCGACAGTGAGAAGGAAGGCGATGAGAAGAAGGAA